GTACCAGCTTGATGTGAAAAGTTTTTGATTGTGAGAAAGAGGGTTGCTAATTCAGGATAAACCCAGGCTCGAACGCACCAGGCGGGCCAGTGTGATTATGCGTTTTTGCACTTCTCGCGGCGTAGCAAGATCGCAAGGGGTCACAGCAGCTAACCCTGTGACATGCTGGTCCTCGAAGTTCGGGGACTTAATTATGCAACTATGTGGTATGTCAATTGTAGATGTCGGCTTCAGTAACCCAACAAATGGAAAGGTGTTGGTCCGCAAACAAAGGCCACACTAGAAGAGTTAAATTTGAAATCTTTAGGGAACATTCCCTTAAAATTAAAGCCTTCAGCTTGTCTCGTCCCCGAATTGGCAGTTTTCCCACCAAAATTTTCACGTGTCCGTACGTGATTAACGGACAGTTTTAAGGAGCTGAATTTAAAATCTTTTGGTCATACATGAGTAAGGAACATTATCCTAAAGTTTCAACCTTCTAGCTTTTTTCGTCCCTGAGTTAGTGATTTTCGCGCCAAAATTTCCATGTGCCTGTGCGTGGGCCCCGGGCGCTTCTAAACAACTGATTTTGCTCGTACATGAGTGGGAACATTGCCTTAAAGTTTCAGCTTTTTAGCTTTTCCCGCCCCCGAGTTAGTAATTTTTGCGTCAGAATTTTCATGTGACCGTACGTGAGCCTCGGGCGGTCCTAAGGGGCTGAGTTTGAAAACTTTGGGTCGTGCATGAGTGGGGGACATTCCTCCAAAGTCTCAACTTTCTAGCCTTCCTCATTCCCGAGTTATAAATTTTCCCGCCATAATTTTCACGTGCCCGTACCTAAGTCCCGGGCAGTCCTGGGCGGCTGAATTTGAAACCTTTTGTCTTACACGAATAGCGAACATTACCCTACGGTTTCGGCTTTCTAGCTTTACTCGTTCCCGAGTTAGCAATTTTCTCGCCAAAATTTTCACGTGCTCGTACGCGGTGCCTAGACGTGCGTGAGAGTTGATACCGCGATCCTGGGGTGGCACTTCGCTGGGGAACATACTGGCAAAATTCCAGCTTCAAAGCTTGCGTGGTTGGCGAGTTGAAATAGCCGAACACACACACACACACACACACACACGCACACACACACACACACAC